CTGGGCTTTTCTTTGCTGGGAGATTTTTAAATTTATTAATTTAATCTCATTACTTGTTATTGGTCTGTTTGGGTTTTCTATTTTTCCCTATTTCAATCTTGATAGTTATATGTTCAGGAATTTATCAATTTCTGCTATGTTTTCCAATTGGCTGGCATATAGTAATTCATAATATCCTCTAACGGTCCTTTGTATTTCTGTGGTATCAGTTGTAATATCTCATATTACACTTCTAATTTTTTATTTACTAATATGTTTTTTGAGATGGAGTCCAGCTCTGTCACCCAGGCTGCAGTGCAGTGGGGCAATCTCGGCTCACTGCAACCTCCACCTCCTGGGTTCAAGCAATCTTCCTGCCTCAGCCTTCCAAGGAGCTGGGATTACAGATGCCTGCCACCATGCCTGGTTAATTTTTGTATTTTAGTAGAGACGGGGTTTCACCATGTTGGCCAGGCTGGTCTAGGACTCCTGGCCTCAGGTGATCTGCCTGTCTCGGTCTCCCAAAGTGCTGGGATTACAGGCATGAGCTACCACACCTGACCTATTTTTTTTTTCATCTTCTCTCTTTGTTAGTCTAGCTAATGGTTTATCAGTTTTATTTATCTTTCCAAAAAAATCAACATTCCATTTCATTGACCTTTTGTATTTTTTAGTCTCTATTTTGTTTAGTTTTGCTCTGATCTTTCTTATATCTTTCCTTATAACTGATTTTCAGCTTGGTTTGCTCTTGCTTTCCTAGTTCATAGAGGTGAATTAGGTTATTTATTTGAAATCTTTTTACCTTTTTGATGTAGGCATTTATTGCTATATGCTGCACTCTTACTACTGCTTTTGCTGTATCCTACACATTTTCGTATGTCATGTTTCTATTTTCATTTGCTTCAAAAATTTTTTTTATTTCCTTCTTAATTTCTTGATTGACCCACTGGTCATTCAGAAGGGTGTTTAATTTCCAAATATTGGTACAGTTTCCAAATGTCCTCTTGTTATTAATTTCTAACTTTATTAGATTGTGGTCTGACAGGATATTTAACATAATTTCATTATTTTTAAATTTGCTGAGACTTATTTTGTGGCCTAACACACGATCTGTCCTGGAGAATGTTCCATGAACTGATGAAAATAATGTATATTCTGTGGCTGTTAAATAAAATGTTATTTAAATATCCATTAGGTCCACTTGGTCTATAGTGCAGTTTAAATCTAGTATGTCTTGGTTGATTTTCAGCCTAGATCATCTACATGTTGCTGAGAGTGAGGTGTTGAAGTCCCCAACTATTACTATATTAGGGTCTGACTCTCCCTTTAGATCTAACAGTATTGGCTTTACATATCTGGATGCACTGATGTTTGGTGTTTATATATTTATAACTGTTATATCCTCTTGCTGAATTGCTCCCTTTATCATTATATATTAATAGTTGCCTTCTTGGTCACTTTTTATGTTGCAGGTTTTTTTTGTTTTTGTTTTTAACTTGAAATCTATTTTATCTGATGCACTATACCTACTCCTGCTCATGTGTGGTTTCCATGTGCATGAAATTTCTCTATTCCTTCATTTTAAGTCTATGTGTATCTTCACAGGTGACGTCAGTTTCTTATAAGCTGAATATAGTTGGGTCCTGTTTTGTCTTTTTTTTTTTAATTCATTCAGCCAGTTTATATTTTTTAATTGAAGAATTTAAACACTTTACATTCAAGGCTGTTATAGGTAAGGACTTATCCCCACTGCTTTTAAATTGATTTCTGGTTATTTTGTATATCCTTTGTACCTTTCTTCCTTATTGTTTATGCAATTTGGTGATTTTCTGTAGTGTTAGTTTGTTCTCTTTTTCATCTATATATCTGTTCTACCAGTATGTTTTATCTGCATGTTTTCAAGACGGTTAGATATGGTTTTTTTGTTCCAGATGCAGAAGTAATTAATCATTTCTTTTAGGACCAGTCTAGTGAGGATGAATTCTCATTTTTGCTTATCTGGGAAAGACTATTTCTTCTTCATTTGTAAAGAATAGCATTCCCAGTTATAGTATCCTTGGCTGGCAGTTTTTTATTTCAGCATGTTGAATATATCATTCCATTCTCTCCAGGCCTGTAAAGTTTCTGCTAAGAAATCTGCCATTAGTCTGATGGGGATTCCCTTTTATGTGACTTTGTACCTTTCTCTAGCTGTTTATAGAATTCTCTCTTTGACTTTTGAAAGTTTGACCGTAAAGTGCCTTGGAGAAAGCCTTTTCAGGTTAAACTTACCTGAATGAAGATCATTGGGCTTCCTGTATCTGGACGTCCATATCACTCCCAAGACTTGGAAAGTTTTCAGCTATTATTTCATTAAGTAGGTTACAATGCCTTTTTTTAACCTCTTCTTCTCCAATTCCCATAATGCAAAAATTGATCACTTAATGGTGTTCCATAGGTTCTGTAAGCTTTCTTCATTCTTTCTTTTGATCTGACTGGGTTATCTGAAAACACAAGTTTTCAGTTTCAGAAATTCTTTCTTCTGCTTGATCTAGTTTATTGTTGAAGCTCTTGATTTTACTTCATTTACTGAATTTTTCAGTTTCAAGATTTGTTTGGTTCTTTTTTACACGATCTACCATTTTCCTGAATTTCTCATTCAGATCATGATTTATTTCCTGCTTGTGTTTGAATCCTTTATCTGTGTTCTCCTGTATTTTGCTGAGTTTCTTTAAGATCTTTATTTTGAATTCCTTTTCAGGTATTTGATAGGTTTCCTTTATTCTGGGGTCCATTAACTGGAGAATTCTTGTGTTCCTTTGACGGTATCAAGTTTCCTTGCTTTTTCACATTTACTGTGTCCCTACACTGGTATCTGTGCATACGATGGAACAGTCACTTTTTCCAATTGTATGGTATAGTTTCTATAGGGAAAAACTTTTTCTTGTAGATATGTCATATAGTGTCAGTTGGGTAGAGTGCTTTGACTTTGGTTCTGTGTAAGAACAGTAATATAGACTCCATATGATGTCTTCAAGCTTTCATCAACATCAGTGGTGTCTGTGAGTGCCTCACTAGCCTAGGCTACAGCGGTTTGTGGATGCCGTAGTGTGGCTTTACAGGAGGCAGGGACACTGGGAAGGCAAGTCTTTTGGCCCTGGTGGGTGAACACATGCATGCACACAATGCCACCAGAAGGGACAGAGTTGCCAGCAAGCCCCAGGTGCATATCATTCTACTCTTAATCTTCTTCTCCCCACTCCTATTACTCTTCAATTCATGAAGATGGGAGGGCAGAAGAAAATGTTTTGGAATTTACTTCTCTTCATAAATCAATTCAAAGTTTATGGCATTTTTTGTCTTCTCATACCACACAGATGGGTGATACATGGTTTTCTTTCCTCTCCTTGATTTCATAATTTTTTTAAAATAAAGGTGACAAAAAATACACAGTTGCCACTGTCCTACAAAAACCTTTGTAAGAAGACTTTTCATTACGGATTCAATCTCTATTAGACACATAATAGAGATTGAATGCAGTTTTTTCATTTTCTGTTAATGTCAGATTTTGTCAGTTCCATTTTTCTGTATTTTTAAAATCTCATATACAGTACTTTTAAAGTCACTGGCATAATGTTATTCTTAATATCCTGTTAGTATATTTCATGTAGAATCAATCTTGCTATTGGTAATATGTGCCTTTTTTATTTATCAGTCCTCTGGCAATTTTTTAAATACTGAGATCTATGACACATCTTCAATCTGTGAGGTCTATGCTCCCTCCCTTAGAATCTTTGAGGATGGTAACTGCTTCTACCAATAACACATGGTAGGAGTGATGCTATTTGAATTCTAAGGCTGGGTCATAAAATACCTTGTAGCTTCTTGCTAGTTCTCAAGTGAGAGCGTTCTCTAAGGAAAGCCAGCTGCCATATGAGAAATCTGACTAACCTGAGACCACTATATTGGAAAAGTGGCAAAGAGAAAGATAAAACTGTAAGTACAAAAGCAATTAAAACACAAACAGTAAATCAACCACAAACACCTTTACTAGTCTACCCTTACTGGCCTATCATGTGATGGCCTGACCTTTGCCCTCACAACTCATAAACCATGTCAGTACACTAATAGACACAGGGTTTAAGAGTGTAAATAGTTTAAATAAGTAAGAAATGTTACCTAGGTAAACCACAGAAGTATAAATGTAATCAATGAGGCTATCAGGAGTATACAGTGTACCCATGTGAATAACTGGTTTGAATATATTTATAATCTGTTCCTCTCCCTCATTTAACATTAATAGCAAGTTAAGAAAGGAGGCCATTTATTTTTAACATGCAATGCTGAAATATCGCTACTTCTCCAACATACAATGAACATGTTGTATTCCTAGCCATTTAAAATAAACATTTCCAGGAACTTTTATATTATACAAGCACAACCGGGCATGGTGGCTCACGTCTGTAATCCAAGCACTTTGGAGGCCAAGGTGGCGGATCACCTGAGGTGGGGAGTTCAAGACCAGCCTGACCAACATGGTGAAATCCCGTCTTTAAAAAAAAAAAAAAAGACTTTTTTAAAAAAAAGTTATAGTTTGGGGAAGTTCAGAAAGTACCAACACCTAGTATAATGCTTGGAACCTAGGTATTCAATTGATATTCACTACATAACTATGAATGAATCAGTTAATGTCAAGTACTTTATCAGCACAGACCAGTTTCTGGCCTCAATCACAAGTACTACATGCAATAAAAAGTTACTGAACTATTAATTCATATCCTTCAATTTGGTGATCCTCAGATACTATATATCCATTTCCTTGAGAACAGTTTATTTCTCTTTCAGAATAATACTTTCAAAAAAGAGATTAAAATAAAGTCATCTGCCATAGCAGATCCTCTAAAGACAAAAGAACCTGAGATTTTTTTTAGCCCAATGAGGATAAAAATAGAATCCCTTTAATGCTTAAGTCAGTTTTACAGTGGGTGCATTACATATAAAATTAACGAGCCACTTAAAATAATGTATGAGTAATAACCTACCGAATCCAGGAACACTTTTGAGACTGGCTTTGAGGCAAATTTTCTCCCATCTGAGGTAGCTATATCTCATCAGACAATTCCACAGGAACATCCAGTCCATTCTCGTCCGATGGTTCATGATAATGACACTTCTTTCTCCAGGAACAAATGCATCCCCAGTTATGATCACTTTTACACCAAACATGGTCTCCAATAGTGCCTAAGAAAATAATACAGATATAGAGCAAATTAAAGTTATGATTTTCCAAAGGTAAATTTTGTCATGCCTTATAAATAAATCTTACGATTTCTAATAAGTAAAAGTATAGTATTTCCCATCATCCTTGCCTCTATGATAAAAAATTGAGGGGTGAGGTTATCTAGAAGATATCAAGCACTATTTCTATTTTAAGCTTCTGGTGATTTCCTAATTAAAAAATGCTAACTCCTTGATATCAAGATATCTTATTTAAGTAAAAAGAAAATATAGGCCGGGCGCAGTGGCTCACGCCTGTAATCCCAGCACTTTGAGAGGCCGAGGTGGGCGGATCATGAGGTCAAGAGATCAAAACCATCCCATCCAACGTGGTGAAACCCCCTCTCTACTAAAAAATACAAAAAAAAAAAAAAATAGCTGGGGGTGGTGGTGCGTGCCTGTAGTCCCAGCTACTGGGGAGGCTAAGGCAGGAGAATTGCTTGAGCCTGGGAGGTGGAGGTTACAGTGAGCCAAGATCGTGCCACTGCACTCTAGCATGGCGCCTGGCAACAGAGCAAGATTGTCTCAAAAAAAAAAAAAAAAAAGAAAGAAAAAGGAAAAAGAAAATATAAAAGGTGTACATGAAGATTTTACTGTGTAATATTTTAGGGATACAGATATGTAACATTATTATCTTTTTTTCTAGAAAGAATAGTCAAAATATTAGCACTGGATACGGGGGGGTGGGGGGGAAAAACCCAGGAAGTTAAACTGTTCATTTCCCAGGTACTTATACTATGACGTTTTAAAAACAAAAACACAGATCTTTATTCTGACAATATATACAGAATAAATTAACTATACATCTAAAATGCTACAAGCCTTTAGCACCTATAATAGTACCTGGAATATAGTAATGTTCAAGTATTTGCTGAATTTACTTAGTTCACTTTTCTGATGGCCAAGTATACGATATATATGAAATATTTAGAAAAACACTATACTATAGACTTAGAGTTCTTGAAAGTAAAGTCACAGATTATAATAAAACTTGATTATTGATTTCAAACTCTTATTTGAATTTTTTAATTATTTACATGTAACAAATTTACTAGTTAATGTTTGACTTACTAATAAAATGAGAATTGATCTAAAGGCAAAATATAAAATAAAAGTTTTCTTGGCGAGTATCATGATAATCCCGATCAAAGTATAGCCAACAGAAAAACTGTGGTATATTCATATAATGGAAAAATGATATAACAACGAAAGTAGATGAACTACAACTATCTACAGCAACACAAAAGACACACAGAAGTATAATTTTGAGAGACAGCAAAACAAAAACATATACAATAAATGTCAATATACAAGGCTTTCTAAAAGATTAAGGTATTTTAAAGGTGATTATATAGATGCTAAAATTATAAAGAACAAGAAGGAAATAATTATCTTAAAAGTCAGATTAATGGCTACTTCTATCAAAAGGAGGGTGTTTTCATTGGAAATCTAGGTAGACTGCTGGAGAATTGGCATGTTGTATTTCTTGACCTGACTGACAGTTACACTCAAAATTATTTATTAAATTATAATTTGTGTTTTAATTACTTTTTGGTGTGTTTGCTATACTTCACAATAAAAAACATTTTTAAAAAAATGCAATACAAAACAGTAAGGTTTGAAAACATAATAAACACGATCAACAAAACAAAGGTTCAAAATAATATTAGCTAAAGAAATATGCTAGAAAGTAAAAAGAAGTTAGAAAAGTTATATGTTCAAATTGTTAAAGAGTCAAAGCATTAACATCCTGATACAAAATCATCTGGGCTAAGTAGCTACAGATATCCCATAGGTCGTCATTAAGTCACTTTCCCACAGATGAGGTTCACTTTAAGCATGGGTATTTAATCTAGTACCTATTATGTCCTAGAAGGATGGCCTCCAAGAGGTCAATAAAAATGTATTCCTCTTAAACTGCATATAAAGATATGTCAATGTGTACACATACTTTTTGCTAGGTAAAATGCTTGGGGTCTTCATCAGATTTTCAAAAGGGTCCATAACTGTTCAACTAAGTATAATCTCTACTTCAGAAAGTCCCTTGAAAGTGAAACACCTACATGGAAGACTTCAGGGTAGAAAGGATTATGACAGAGTGCTCCAGGCTTGGACCCACAGCAAAAAATATCCCTTTTTTAACTTCTAAGTATAAAGGGCCATCAAGTACCAAAACATATCACTGAATTATATGTCCTGGGCCAAGGGATATGGGTAAAGTTACCAGACAAGGTTAACTTGTAATTTGGATGACCTCCACTCTACTTTCCAAATATGATACACTTTTAAGTTTTTGCAAAGAAATGGAAAGTGGAATGCCCTTCACTTAGTTGGCAGAAAAAAGAAGTTGACTGTTAGTTGTATGTTGTACAAAAGACATAAAAATCTTATTTTTTATTTATTTATTTTTTTTTTGAGAGAGAGTCTCACACTGTCACCCAGGTTGGAGTACAGTGGCTTGATCTTGGCTCACTGCAACCTCTGACCCCCAGGTTCAAGCGATTCTCCTGCCTCAGCCTCCCGAATAGCTGGGATTACAGGTGCCCACCACCACACTCAGCTAATTTTTTGTATTTTTAGTAGAGACAGAGTTTCACCATGTTGGCCAGGCTGGCCTCGAACTCCTGACCTCATGATTAGCCTGCCTCGGCCTCCCAAAGTGCTGAGATTTCCCAAAGTGCTGGGATTATAGGCGTGAGCCACTGAGCCAGATCAAGAGTTAAAAGTCTTAAGCCTATAAATCCCAAACCTCAAATCTAACTCTATATATGCAATTTCTAATATATGATACCTATGGATCCCAAACAATCCTTTTTCATTATGAAAAATAACAAAATAAACAATTCAAGACTGGGATGGGTGTGGAGGCTCACACATGTAATCCCAGCACTTTGAGAGGCTAATGCAGGAAGATCGCTTGGGGCCAGGAATTCGAAACTAGCCTAGGCAACACAGCAAGACTCCGGCTCTACAAACAATTTTTAAAAGCCGGGTATTATGGTACATGCCCAGAGCCTTAGCTACTCAGGAGGCTGGGGCAGAATGATTGCTAGAATCCAGGAATTTCAGGTTACAGTGAGATCTCACTGCACCACTGCATTCCAGCTGGGCAAGAGAGTGCTGTCTCAAAAAAAAAAAAAAAACAAAACAAAAAAAAACACCAAGACTGTGTGTCCAGGAACATCTCATATAACATGACATTCTCTCCCTTGATATCCAGCATTCTATCAGAATATGCCTGAAAGTTATATAAATAACCTTCTGGGCAGCCAAGATCTCAAGTCCACATTAATCATTTGTAATACCAGACGAGATATATCCAGTCAACCTTATTTACAGCTCCTGCAAAGGCAGAAAAACAAATATACTACACAGAAATAAAATTGTAATATCTATAAAGAACTCTAGAATTCAAATAATCCAAACTAAAAGAATGGGAAAAAAAGACACTATTCTCAGATTTCTCATGTTTATTTTATTTCTAGTCTACGAGATAATAGTGTCAACCGTAATAAATCTTACAAAATTTTATAATGCATTGTTTCTTATATTAAGAGTAAAAATTCTCATAATTTTTACCTAATTGGTCAAAGATTTCTCTGTGTATTATTTAATAAAAATACGGGAACATTTTCTGAGGATCTTTTATATATCACTACTTACTAACGTCCAAGTGTTCCAATATGAAAACACAAAGATGAGAGCGTTTCCTCTCATGATCACAGAGAGAGTTTTGCCATCATGCCCGCTGCTGTCACTCTCATTTATCATTCTGATGGATCTTTATTTAGTCTGAGGTAATAACAACTCATCTACACATCTGCTTTCGCTTTTCAGGCTCAGCTTAGGTCTGGTTCCCCAAACCCCTAGATACTTGAGGCTTTGCAATCCCAAATCATTCTTCAAACACTGAGCACCCACTTTCTTAAGAGCAACAGTGTAGACAAAAATCACATTCAGCAATCTATGTTTATTGAACACCTGTTTTGTGCTAGGACTGGAATGGTATCAGAAGGCTGTGGAAGGAACTTGTGCCCTGGATAGACAATTAGAAAATGACCTCTAAATTCCTAAGGCATGATTTATGGCGAAAGGGCAGAACTTGCAGTAATTTTTAAAATCCCAGGTAGTAATCAGACTCTTGGTTAGAGTCAGAATTTTGAGAAGCAAAAACTGCTCTGAGCACATGCTGAGTTTGACCATTACAATATTAATCTTATGTTGAACAGAATGGTCCAAAAATGAAAGGAACAAAGACATGCTCTCCAAATTATAGAAACATTCAAAGAAAGACTGAATGGTCACCCTGCAAATGGTTCTAGAAGGGACTCTTGCATACAGTTAGGTTAGACAAAGTGACCTCTAAGTCTCATCTAATTCTAAGATTCTAAAACATTTCACTGCTATGCCTCTTTTAGCACAGAAAATGTGCTCCTTAAAAATAGTAAGACAAGAAAAATCCTGCCAACAAAATCATTTTAATCCACAAGAGAAACTTAACGAAAGAGCAGATCATTTTGTGACTATTTTTGTGAAGCAATAATTAGTTTAAATACGTTTATCCTAATTTATTTTTAGTTGAAAATTATTTTTAACTTTCTGGGATTGCTTAAAATAAAGTACATCAATAAGGGATAAAACAATAAATTTTAGATTAAATTCACTCTGAATTTAAAAATAACATTTTGCTATTGCTTAAAAATAAAAACTCCCTTTAGCTCCTTCTACAAGTATGAGATAAAAGGTGATAAAAGACACCCTTGACAGTTCTTCACTGTTTCTTTCAACAGAGATGTTCACTATCTCAAAGCTAGAATATCAATTTTTCTGTAACCTAGCTATAAGGAATTCAAAATCTATATATTTCTTAACTAAAAAAACATTCTCTGCCCAATATGCTGTAACTAGTAAACTAAACAGCTGAATGACTGACAGCAGTGTTCCAAATTTATATTAATTTTTCACTAGTACTGTGGTAGTTAAATCTCACCTATATGTTAAACTGTCCAAACAGCTAATAAACAAAAGTTAGGAATAGGTGAAATTATCTTTGAAAATCTCTTAAGATGGTGCATCTCAAAAGATCACACTATAAATAAGTCCAGCTCAGCCACTTTTCTCCCAAAATTGTACTATATTGCTATTACCCTACCTGACCATCAGACAAAGTGATTAGTTTGTATTTATTTATTTATTTATTTATTTTGAGACAAAGTCTCACTCTGTCACCAGGCAGAGTGAGATCCTGCCAACTACTCTTGCAATCCCATCACAAAACAAAACATACTTATATTAAAAATGCAAGAAGAAATTTTGCCTAAAAGACCAGCCCTGACAGAGTAAAAGGTACTAGACATCACCCAGATGATGTAAGGGAAAATATGGCTACACTTAATGAATAAATGAGAAATCTCAAGAAAGTAAGAGACACAATAAAGAACCCAAAATAAATTACAGAACTTAAATATTTTAAATAGAAATTCACTAGATGAACAAAACAACAGAATAAAGACGATAGAAGAAAGGGTCATTGAGCTTGCAAACAGATAAATACAAATCATTCAATGTGAAGAATAGAGGAAAAAATACAAGGAAAGAAAAAAGAGAGCCTTTGTGACATGTGTGACAAATCAAACATACATATAATTGTAGTCCCAAAGTAAGGAGAGAATAAGTCAGAAAAAAAATGTGAAAAAATGGGTCTAAAATTTCCCAGTTAAAAAAAAGAAACAACCACCATCAACCAACCTACAGATCTAAGAAGCCCATTGGAACACAGAAAAATACATTCAGCCCTCCACATCCTTGGGTTCTGCATTTGTGAACTCACACAATCATGGATCAAAAATATTCACAGGAAAAAAAGGATGGCTGAGCCTGTACTGAGGATGCACAAACTTTTTATTCCCGTCATTATTCCTAATACAATTCCCAAACAATAACAACTATTTACATAGCACTAACATTGTATTTGGTATTATAAGCAATCTAGAGATTGTTTAAAGCATACAGAAGGATGTGCATAAGATATACGCAAATATTGGAGGGACTTGAACATCCATGGATTTAGGTATCTATCATGGGTAGGGGGCACTCTAGTGCAAGCAGGTAGTCTCCTCTGGTGTGTAACTTACCACAGGTAGGGTGAGCCAGGTTGCCACAAGGCGGTTGTTGATCCAGCGATACCAAGATGGGTTTACAAACATCAAAGGTAAAAAGGGACCCAGCATGAAAATGCTTCCAAAAAAGCTTCCCCAAAACAGAGTCAGTATAAAGTAAATCCCTTTCCATGACACCATGATTCTGAAAGATATAAAAAAGGATATATTTTGTTACTATACATTTAACATCTCAAATTCAATTTCAGAATGAAGCATAAAATCATCTTTAACTATAGGGCTACAGAAAGGCTCTAATAAGCAATATAAGAGCCTGAATTTCAAAGAGATGACCCTCCTACATGCTCTACTGGTCTAACAAGTTGCCAGTACATTAGAAATTGATACTCTCAGGCCAGGCACTCGCAGCTGTAATCCCAGCACTTTGGGAGGCCCAAGTGGGGGCCGATCACTTGAGGCCAGGAGTTCAAGACCAGCCTGGCCAACATGGTGATACCCCATCTCTACTAAAAATACAAAAATTAGCCAGGTATGGTAGTGTGCCTGTAATCCTAGCTATGTGGGAGGCTGAGGAAGAGGTTGCAGTAAGCCAAGATTGCACCACTGCACTCCAGCCGGGATGACAGAGTAAGACTCTGTTTCAAAAAAAAAAAAAAAGAACGAAAGAAAGAAAGAAAGAAATTGATATTCTCAACAGAACAAATGTCTGACCTCAAAAACAGTTATCTAGTTTAAGAAGCCTTTGTCCCCACTTTAGATCCATTCCAAGACCCCCAGTGGATGCCTGAATCACAGATAGTACTAAAACCTACATATACTATACATACATACCATGATGAAGTTTAACTTACAAATTAGGCATGGTGAGAGATTAATAAATATTATTAATAAACTACTATTAAGTAAAATAAAGGCTCCTTGAACACAAGCACTGCTATACCTTGACAGTCAATCTGGTCACCAAAATGGCTATTAAGGACTAACAAAAGGCAGGTAGCAAAGCATATATTGCGTCAAGGCAATGGACAAAGGGATAATTCACGTCCTAGATGTGACAGAGAGGCATGGCATCAGATTTCACCCCACTCACTACTCAGAATGGCACACAAATTTTAAAACCCATTAATTGTTTATTTCTGGAATTCTCCATATAATATTTTCAGACCACAGCTGACCTTGGATAATTCAAACTGCAGAAAGCAAAACTGTGGGTAAGGAGGGGACTACTTACACGTAAAAGCAATGGCAATTTAGCAGAGTATATTGAATTTTTTTAAATTCAGAAATATTCATTCTTTACATTAGAATCTAAAAATAACATCTTGGGCACTTGGCCTTAAATTGGCTCTTTATGAGTTGAAGGGTTAAGGAGAACTAAGACTCTTCACTGGCTATTTCCAAGGGATTACTGTAGGGTGGTCCTCATAAGCAAAGCATTATACTGATGTTTTAAAATAAATGCTTGTTGGAAAATACATATAAAATACATAAATACACATTTGATTTTACAACCTAAACTATATTAGAGAAAGACTATGTTTTGTCTCAAAATAAAATTGTTAGAAAAAGTAAAACAATTTTAAAATGGCCTTAAAATCTATATAGTAAAAAAGGGATCCCAGAGATCAAGACCTCTGAATATTATAAAAGAATCACAAAGGGAAACAGAATAAATTTTCAAATGTCATGGTGCTTTTTTAAAATGTCACACAGACAAAAAACAAAACAGGTTAAATTCCTTAAAACATACAATCAAGACTGACTACTAAGTGTTTTTTTGTTTGTTTGTATTTGTGAGAGAGTCTTGCTCTGTTGCCAGGCTGGACTGCAGTGGCATGATTTCAGCTCACTGCAATCGCCGCCTCCCAGGTTCAAGCGATTCTCCCGCCTCAGCTTCCCGGGTAGCTGGGACTACAGGCATGTGGCACCAGCCCCACCTAATTTTTGTATTGTTAGTAGAGATGAGGCTTCACCATGTTGGCCACGATGGATATCTTGACTGCATGATCCGCCCGCCTTGGCCTCCCAAAGTGCTAGGATTACAGGGTGAGCAACCATGCCTGACCAACTACTAAGTGTATTTTAAAACTTCTGCTGATACTTGACAGTAGTACGTGTACAAAATCCTTCAAAATACAAACTGAATAAATACCAACTAAGAGCTGGCTTTTCGCTAAACTCTAGATCTAAACTTTTAAGAGGTGGGGTAACGGAGTAAGGGCAGAGAAAAAGACCACTGGAAAGCAGCAGGCTGAACAATTCCCAGAGCCCACATAGGGCCTAGAGTGGTCTGTGTTACCACCTATCCTCAACTTTTCTTTTTCTGAGGCTCAGGTCCTTCTCTTTGCATTGATGACAATACAGCTAGCTTCTCCCCAGGATGGGGGCAAAAAAAACCCTACAAATGTCTAAATTGGTATTTTCAATGCCTACTTCCTTTTATACACCCACCACACCCCACCCCACCCCACCCCACCCCAACCCACAATCCTGCAATGCTCAATGCTACTGCTCTACTTGGAAACCCTGAAACTACCTTTTTCTATCTACTGGTTATTTTGTTTTGTTTTTTTTTGTTTTTTGTTTTTTTGCCAGTCAGTGATTAGCTAGCTCTATCTTTAGACACTCACCCCTGAACTCCCTGCAGGGCTACTTCATATTGTATTCATATATAATGCTTCCTCCATCAAGGCTCTGGCATGCTTCTTTCTCACCAATTTCTGATTTGATGTGATTTTTCTTTTTTTTTTTTTTGTTATGAATATTTTCTTTTTTTTTTTTTTTTTTTTAATGAAAGAGAGAAAGAAAGAAAGAAGAGAAAGGGGGAGAAAGAACAGGAGTCTTGCTCTACTGCCCAGGGTAGAATGCAATCTAAAAATAGGTATTACAGAAGCCAATAATTGTGCTTAACAAGAGACAGGAAGGAATAAGGGAAGAAAATGACAAACAGCCAACCAATATTTCATTTAAATCTATGAAATGCTATGCAATTGCTGAAAAATGATTTACTTCCAATTGTGTGGTCACTTTTAGAATAGGTGTAATGTGATACTGAGAAAAATGTATGTTTTATGCATTTGGCGTGGATAATTCTGTAAATATTTATTAAGTTTACTTGCTCCAGGTCTGAGCTCAAGTCATAGATATCCTCGTTAATTTTCTATCTCCTTGATCTGTCTAATGTTAACCATGTGGTGTTAAAGTCTCCCACTATTATTGTGCAGGAGTCTAAGTCTCTTTATAAGTCATTAAGAACTTGTCTTACGTATCTGGGTACTCCTGTATTGGGTGCATATATATTTATGATCATTAGCCCTTCTTGTTGCATTGATCCTTTTACCATTATGTAATGTCCTTCTTCATTTCTTTTAGTCTTTGTTACCAGTCTATTTTGTCAGAGACGAAAATTACAACTCCTGTTTTTGTTGTTGTTGTTGTTGTTGTTTGCTCTCCATTTAATTGGTGAATCTTCCTCCATCCCTTTGATTCTTTGTGTGTCCTTGCATGTGGGATAGGTCTGGATACAGCCTACCGATGGGTTTTGACTTTTTATTCAATTTGCCTGTCTGTGTCTTTTGATTGGGACATTTAATCCATTTAAATTTAGGATTAATATTGATATATGTGAGTTTAATACTGTCATTTAATACTAGCTGGCTGTTTTGCCCATTAGCTGATATAGATTCTTCACTACGATGAAAGTCTTTACCTTTTGGTAAGTTTTTGGGATGACTGGTACTGGTTGTTCTTTTCTATATGTAGTGCTTCTTTTAGAAGCTCTTGTAAAGCAGGCCTGGTGGTGATGAAATCTCTGAGTGCTTGCTTGTTCATGAAAAATTTTATTTTTCCTTCACTTATGAGGCTTAGTTTGGCTGGATATGAGATTCTGGGTTGAAAGTTCTTTTCTTCAAGGATGTTGAATATTGACTCCCCCTCTCTTCCAGTTTGTAGAGTTTCTGCTGAGAGATTTGCTGTGAGTCCGATAGGCTTCCCTTTGTGGGTAACCTGACCTTTCTCTCTGGCTGCCCTTAAAATTTTCTCCTTTATTTCAACCCTAGTGAATCTAACGATTATGTGTCTTGGGGTTGCTCTTCTTGAGGAATATCTTTGTGGTGTTCTCTGTATTACCTGGAGTTGAGTATTTTCCTGCCTTACTAGGTTAGGAAAGTTTTCCTGGATAATATCCTAAAGAATATTTTCCAGCTTGGATTCATTCTCTTCATCACATTCAGGTACAACTATCAGACGTAAATTAGGTCTTTTCACATAGTCCCATATTTCTTGGAGACTTTGCTCATTCCTTTTTACTTTTTTTCTCTAATCTTGTCTTCTCGTTTCATTTCATTAAGTTGGTCTTCGACCTCTGATATCCTTTCTTCTGCTTCATCAATTCGACTGTTAAAACTTGTGCATACTTCATGAAATTCTCGTATTGTTTTTCAGCTCCATTAATTCACCTTATATTTCTCTCTAAATTGTCTATTCTCATTAGCATTTCATCAAACCTTTTTTCAAGGTTTAGTTTCTTTACATTGGGTTAGAACATGTTCTTTTAGCTCACGGAAGTTTATTATTATCCACCTTCTAAAGCCTAATTCTGTCGATTGATTGCACTCGTTCTCCAACAGGTCTTGTTCCCTTGTTGATGAGGAACCGTGATCCCCTGTAAAAGGAGAGGCATTCTGATTTTGGGTGTTCTCAGCCTTTTTATGCTGGTTTCTTCTCATCTTTGTGGATTTATCCACCTGTCGTCGTCTTTGTAATTGCCAACTTTCAAATTGGGTCTCTGAGTGGACGTCCAACTTGTTGATTCCCAGCTCCGGAATCTGAGCAACCCACTGCGCCGGCTGAAACAGCAGCGTTGAGATTCGTGGTGCTTTTCTGCCTGGGAATCTCCGGTCTGTCTTCCCTCTTCAGTCCGGTTTTCAGTCAGCTAAATGAGCGACTTTGCCTTCCAGGAGCTCCAAACATTGACCAAAAGGGCACCCAGTCCCATTTACTACGCACTGAAAACCGCAGCACGAGGGCGCTGGCAAAACCGCAGCACGAGGGCGCTGGCAAAACCGCCGCACCGGCCACAAGAGTCCAGCTGGTGACCCGTGGGGCTCCTCTGCTGGGAATCTCCTGGTCCGTGGGCAACAAAAATTCATCTGGAAGAGTGGTGTCCACTCGTTCTCTGCGCTT